CCCTGCAGACGATCCCAAGGGTCTCCCCCCGTGTCCCTGCAGACGATCCCAAGGGTCTCCCCCCGTGTCCCCGCCAAAGTTCCCAGAAGTTCCCCGAGCTGCCCCCCGTGTCCCCTCCGTGTCCCGCGTTCCCAGGGGTGTCCCCGCGCGTCCCCGCGGGATCCCCCCCGTGTCCCCCCGTGCCCCCCCGTGGGCGCGCTCCCGGTGGCCCCGCCCCCGCGGTTCGGGGGGGTCCGGGGGGGTTTTGGGGGCGGGGCGGCCCCGGGGCGGCGGCGCGGGCGGAGCGGAGCGGAGCGCTCGGAGCGATCGCGGCGGGGCCGGAGCGGGGCCGGAGCGCGATGGGGCGGCGGGGCCCGGCGGCGCTGGGGACCCTCCTGCTCCTGGGGACCCTCCTGGCGGTGAGTGGGGCCGGGGGGCGCCGCGGGGAGCGGGCTTGGGGTCCCCCCGCCCGGCCGGGAGGTCCCGTGAAGGAGTTGGGGGCCTCGGAGTTGGGGTCCCGTAAAGGAGTTGGGGGCTCCCAAAGGAGCTGGGGGGGCTCCCAAAGGGGTTGGGGGCTCCCAAAGGGGTTGGGGGCTCCCGAAGGGGTTGGGGAACGCCCCCGTTGTGGAGTTGGGGTCTCTTAAGAGGGCTGGGGTCCCCCCGCGGAGTTGGGGTCCCGCGAAGGAGTTGGGGACCCCTAAAGGTGTTGGAGTCCCCTAAAGGAGTTGGGGTCTCCCCACCGCGGACTTGAGGTGTCTTAAAGGAGTTGGGGTCCCTTGGAGGAGTTGGGGTCCCCCCCCCGGAGCTAGAATCCCCGAAAGGAATTGGGGTCCCTGGAGTTGGGATTCCTTGTGGGAGTGGGGGTCCCCTACAGGAGTCGGGGTCCCCGAAGTGGGGATCCCAAGAAGGAGTTGGGGTCCCCCTGTGGATTTGGGATCCATTAAAGGACTGGGGGCCCTTCGAGGAGTTGGGGTCCCAACACGATTTTGGGATATCTTAAAGAAGTTCAGTACCACGGAGTTGGGGGCCCCTAAAGGAGTCGGGGTCCCCAGGAGGATTTGGGGTCCCCTCCCGGAGTTGGGATTCCTTGTAGAAGATGAGGAGTTTGTGTCTCTTGAAGGATTTGGGGTCCCTTGTAGGAGTTGGGGTCCCTCCCCTAAAGGAGTTGGGGTCGTTGTGCTGTGCCTGAGGGGAATTGGGGTCCCCCTCAGGCTCGGGGGTCCCCAGCGTTGTGCTCTGGCCGCTGAGGGGATTGGGGTGTCCCTCCACGTGTGCNTCCACGGTGTCCCCACGTCCCCCCATATCTCCGAACTGGATATGGGGGAGCCCCCCCTTACCATCCCTATGTCCCTCTGCCAGTTCCCAGAGCGGCCCCACGGTGTCCCCACGCACCTCCAAGTCCCCGCAGAAGTTCCCGGAGGTGTCCCGAGGTGCCCCCAGGCACCCTCGTGTCCCCAGAAAAGTTCCTACAGGTGTCCCCCCACGTCCCCCCACGCCCCATGTCCCCATGGTCCTAAAGGTGCTCCACGACATCCCCACGCACACCCGTGTCCCCAGAAAAGTTCCTGCAGGTGTCCCCCTGTGTCCCTGTACAAGTTCCCAGAGGCGTCCCCGTGACCCCGTGTCCCCGTGAAAGTTCCCAGAGGTGTCCCCCGTGTCTCCCTTGTCCCTGCATCCCTATAAAAGTTCCCAGGGGTGTCCCCACACACCCCATGTCCCCACTAAAGTTCCTAAAGGTGCTCCACGGTGTCCCCACACACCCCCTGTCCCTGTAAATGTTCCCGGGGGTGTCCTCCGTGTCCCCCCGTGTCCCAGTGCAAGTCCCCAGAGGTGTCCCACGGTGTCCCCCATGTCCCCACGCACCCCTGTGTCCCCGTGAAGGTTCCCAGAGTCGCCCCCTGTGCCCTCTGTGTCCCCCCGTGTCCCTGGACAAGTTCCCAGGGGTGTCCCCCGTGTCCCCCCGTGTCCCAGTGCACGTTCCCAAAGGTGTCCCACGGTGCCCCCCCTGTCCCCACGCGTCCCCTGTCGCTGTGAAAGATCCCAGGGGTGTTTCCTGTGTCCCCGTGGAAGTTCCCAGAGTTCCAGAGGTGATCCCTCCGTGTCCCCCCCGTGTCCACCCGCAACTTCCCCATGTCCCTGCAAAACTTCCTGGGGTGTCCCCCATGTCCCAAGGCCCCAGGGGTGTCCCACGGTGTCCCCACGCACTCTGTGTCCCTGTAAAACTTCCCAGAGTTGCCCCCCGTGTCCCCCCGTGT